AGACTCACATGCGAGTCAGAGGCCATTAAGCAGAGGGGCCGTCAGACCACGAGCTCCCTAGGCCGCAGTGACGCATTAACGCCCCCCCCCCCCCCAAACAGCATAATCACAGAGTCAGTGCTACAGCCCCCCCCCCCAAACAGCATAATCACAGAGGCAGTGTGACAGGGGCCCCCCAAACAGCATAATCACAGAGTCAGTGGGTTGACCGCCCCCCCCCACCACCACCACCAAAGAGCATAGTGTGTGAGACAGGGGTCCCAACAACAATCACAGAGGGAGTGTGATAATAGAGGTAAACAAAACCCTTCTGATTATCCAATGCATCGTACTGGTTTATTTTATTAATTTTAAATAAATTAACTTTGTGGAACCACCACTTGTGGAGATCTTTTTTATAGTCATCATTTAGAAGCAGGTCAACAACATGGAGAATTCTGACAGACATTTTGATCAAAATGCAATTTTTACCATGAACATGGTATTTCAAATCCTAGACTGCATAGTTTTTTTTCCCCTCAATCAAATCTTTTTTAGTACAGACACATTCATCTGGGTACAGACTGACTGTGGATCTTAGTTTAGAAACAATACATTATATACATTTAAAATGGAAACAGTACAAGTGGAAATGACTTTCTGTAATGTCTTGTAACACTATCATGTAAGAGAAAAAAAGTCTAGATGACGTCAATTATCTTGCATGGGACAAACTAATAATTTTTGTTTCAAAATATGGGTTTGTAAGACTTTGTCATATTCAAGAGAGCAGATACTGCCCCATTAAAGCAGCCCCATTTCACGATGCTGTGGTTTGTCCACCAGATGGCAGCGTAGCCGTGTGTGAAGGGATACATTACAGGACATTTCTCTCCAAAAGGACTGGGAAAGACCAGCTGGGCCCTGTTGCATACTTGCTGTGTGCTGGTTCTGTGTCAGTAGTGAGTAATGCAAACGGACTGGCGTGTCCATCTCAGTGTGTACTTTCATGTAATGCTCACTGGCTAAGGCTCTGCATAATACCATCGAGGCTAGAGACGCAAACTAATGAAAAGTCTAATGGAAATGAGGTTGCAGACTGAAAGAGACCACAGCATATTAGACTGAGTGTTACTCTGGTAAAAGCAGGTGCTGTCGCGCCGAGTTGAGCGTGTCGGCATCTGCCCCATTGCTGCCGGTGAATAACAGAAACGCCATGGAAACCGCAGGGCGGGAAAAAAGCCTGAGGGGGAAATCAGCTGAAGGTTGGTGTGGGGGAGTGAGGAGGGGGCAAAGCTCACCACCAGGCCCAAATCCTAAATCCCCATACAACACCTTTTCTCTCCTTTCACACCCTCCCAAAAAATCTCCAGATTTCATTAGTGAGTAAACTTCAACTGTGATTGGTATACCAAAAGAGTATTTCTCAAACCGGTTCTTAGCGACCCCCAGACAGTCCATGTTTTTGCTCCCTCCGAGCTCCCAGTGGGAGCAAAAACGTGGACCGGGTTCAGAAACAGTGAGCTAGAACAATAGATCAAAATGCTTTTCATGAGATGCCACTTCATTACTGCACTCTTGTACATCACTATGCCGTTGCACCACATGGTTATGCAACCATTTAATTAGTTCTATGCCAGTGGTTGTGGCATGCAACCCCACCCAACAGCAATGCCTTTGTGACAGGCTGCCTAAAGCTAAAATTATGTATGTGTCGTTCACCCTGAGAAACTCATGCCTGCTGAGGATTGTGGGAAAAATATGCCCACATGCCAGGACATGAAGAAAGGCACCTGAGGCAATTTGTGTTATAATTTGATCAGCTGAGCTGATTTGTGATGAACATTTCCCATGCAAATATTTTCTCTACTCTTTCCTTCAATCCTCCAATGTGTAAATAAATGCAAATGTAAAGCAAGCCTTAAATGTGTGATAATGGGCAATATTTGCAACTCAAAACTGAGTGTGCATACAGGATGCATGCACATCGATTAATTCAAAAGACAGAGAAAAAATACGAGTTCTGTCTGAAATTGTCAAATACAGTAAAACCTCGGACTGCGAGTAACTTGGTTTGCGAGTGTTTTGCAAGACAAGCAAAATTTTAAAATAAATTTTAACTTGATAAACGAGCGAGGTCTTGCAATACGAGTACTACAGTATGTATACGCTTTGTCTGCCAAGCATCACATAATCACGTAATCGTTTCCCATGCTCGGTCTCAGTCGGCGTGCCTCACTCGTATAGTCAAAATTTAGTAAAAAAGCACCACCTAAATAAGGCCGCAGCAGTGAGAGCGATGAATCTGTTTAACAACAATGCAATGTCCACATTAAAGTCACACAAAAAGAAAAAGATTCCAGTGAGCCAACAGATAGCAGTGATTCCGTTAATTATAGTGAAAGTCGTCATACAAAATAACCCTCCTCTTCTCCTCTCTCTCGTCTCCCTCAAACCATCTACGATTCTTTTCAAAGGTAAAGTGCAGGTTAATTTGTTTTATGTATTTTTACTTTATATTTAGTATTAATCATTTTTATATTAATATTTTTGGCTTATGGAATGAATCATCTGAGTTTCCATTATTTCTAATGGGAAAATTTGCTTTGATATACGAGTGCTTTGGATTACAAGCACATTTCCGGAATGAATTATGCTCGCAATCCGAGGTTTTACTGTAGTTACTTTTTAAGATAATGCATGAATTTTGATATTTTGAAATCAGTGCTGTGAATTAACATGAACAAAATGATGCAGACCCAGTGCAGAATTATTAGGTAAGTGGGTATTTTGTTTGTATCTTCCACACAATAGTTTCAGTTCAGATTAATCTCCAGTTAAAAATGGACTGTTTAAAAATAAGAGCATGCTCAGTATTTGGTCTGAGAACTTTACTGATTGGAGTAAAACAGGAAACCTTAGATACTACTCTGTACAGAATTATCTAGTAAATTATTACTACTATGGAAATGGGCCAAAAAAGGATCTTATAAGTGGGGGGAAAAAACAAACAAAATACTCTGTTGACCCGAATATAAGAAGGGGTTATTTTTCCCTAAAAAAATACGTCTAAAAAAGTGGTGGAGTCATATTCATGGTCTAGACAAAAATGGTAATAGATGGCAGAAAATACAATATTTTGTAATGACCATTGAGTTCTTGCTTAACAGTAATATAATTTTTTTTTTTGTAAGATTTCTTGTGTGAGCCCAAGCTGGCAGCCCTGTCAGTGCGTGTGTTTAACGTGTATCCCCGTCAGCTTCCCTGTCAGTGCGTGTGTTTAACGTGTATCCCCGTCAGCTTCCCTGGCAGTGCGTGTGTTTAACGTGTATCCCCGTCAGCTTCCCTGGCAGTGCGTGTGTTTAACGTGTATCCCCGTCAGCTTCCCTGTCAGTGCGTGTGTTTAACGTGTATCCCAGTCAGCTTCCCTGGCTGTGCTGCTGTTAGTAGTAAACCGATAGTGACTGTTAATAAAGATAATAACATTCATTTTAAAAGCACTGCCATATCAATTAATACTGCTCAACTTTTCACCGCACATGTGGGTCGGCTGCATCAAAAAGCTTCTGCGCCCTAAAAGGTTTGTGGAGTTAGTACCATCTCCCCCCAGACCCTAAATAATACATTTGTTTTTTGAAATGTTTGCTGTTTATTACACTTATCGTAATCCGGTTGCCTGTGGTTGCTGGTTCACATAAGTTCTTGTCAAATCAAATTATTTTTCTTTATAAATGTAAGAGGTGGTATTCTAAAAAGGTTTTTTCTAGAAATGGTTGCCAAAACATTGGGGGTTGACTTATAATTGGGGTCATCTTATATTTGAGCCAATATGGCAGTAAACTGCCAGTCAGAGGGATGTAAGGCAAAACTGCCAAACATTTAAAACATTGAGTGCTCTGTGGCCAACAGTCAAAAATGATGGTAGAAGCATGTAGGCGGCTCAAGGGCCCATGGACATGACTATTCTGCTAAGCCCAGGCTCGCTCCAGCTACCATCCAATCACAGGCACAGGCTTAGCCCACTGAACCACACAGCGAACAGAGATAGACCTTCAAGAGCCAACAAGATGGTGGAGGACTGATGGTGTGGGCTGCAATTATCAGTGATGAACCTGTAACTTGCAGATGGTGTAAAAATTAACCCCAAGATCTACTGTCAATTTCAAGAAGATACCTTCTTCAAACACTGATACAAGAAGTCAGCTTTCAGAAATGTTCTGATATACATACAGGACAATGTCCCTTCCCATGAAGGAAAGTATTCCATAGATTGGCCAAAAAAGACTTGAAAGTTGATCAAATTATGAAGTGGCCTCATTCACTGCTTGACTTAACCACCATTGAGAACTACTGGGCCTGCTAAATATGAGATATGTGGCAACCAGTGATGAGAAAAATCATGAATCATATATTCGGGTCATCACCATCAATTTCTAATTGCCTAATTGTGTACACTGAAAATCAAGTGTTTTACTTTTGGTTTGACAGATTAATGTAACATTTTCTCTCTAGATAAATTTACTTGGAG